ATGCCCTTTTTTTACACTGTTCTAAATCTTGAATCTAGATCTAATTGAATGTAAATTATTTACTTCTGATCATTAACAACTCCTTTTATCTGTCTTCCTCTTCCCCTACGTCATACCCTAACCCATGTTTACTTCTTCCATCCTATCCTTTTTCCATGCCTCAATTTGGTAAATTTCCCAAACTTCACATCCCATCCTTATCACTATAGAAGTATCGATACCAAGAGGAAGAAGGGACTTCACCAGGTGTCCCAAGATTTCACCATCACACCTGCCATCAGCATCCAATGGGAATTGCTGGAGAGATAACCGATGGAGGGACCCTGGGGAGGGATGGCGGGACACTTGGAAGAGATGGAGGGACTCTTGGAAGGGATCCAGGGACGTTAGGAAGGGATTCAGGGACTCTAGGAAGGGATGGAGGGACTCTAGGAAGGGATGGAGGGACTCTAGGAAGACATGGAGGAACACTGGGGAGGAAGGGAGGGACACTAGGGAGGGACAGAGAGACCTGGAGGCGAGATGGAGGGGGCATTGGAAGCATGGAGCGAGAAAGGGAGCGATCCCTCGGGAGAGATGGATCCCTCATTTACCACGGTGACCTGCGTGGAGCGGAACTGGTTCAGGTGGCGGAGCGCCAGCTTTCTCAGATCCAGCATGTCCATGGATATGTCACTCATACACACATCGCACCTGCTCAGGTAACTCGGTGTGGCTTTCTGTGTTGCTTTAGTGCATCTTCAGTAAGTTTTAAAAATAGATTTATTGAATGGATTTTTTTTTTTTATCTGCAGCTCAAACTCAAATACGTCTTTTATCATTGTGGTGACTGCTACACAAATGCTCAATAAAAAAAAGGAAAATCAATGAAGTAGAATCCAACTTAATTCGTTTGAAAATAAAAGATTCACAAGTATATAATCCAAGTCTACTGTTAATATCCGGAATCATTGGATAAAAAACAACAAAAAACAGGTCCAGAAAAATTTACTGGGTTGAGACTAAGCTGAGACAAAATAGCAGAGAAAACAGGAAACCTGAAGGGTTAAATGGACAGCTTTATTGGGAAGCATCAGGACGACAGCTGGTGGGGAAAAAAAGAGAACCAAAGTACAGGAACAGATGTTAAACTTTAAATATAACTTTTCTGCTAACATTTCTATACTGTGGAAATAGGCTGAAGTTTCAAGAGAGACACTTGCAAAGGAGTATAGAAACTTTGTGCAGAAAGACCCTAAGTGCTTACAAATGCACTGCCTTGCTGATTTCTTTTACATTTCTGTAGAGTAAATAGTAAATACCCTGTTACCATGAGATTCATAGTGGAAAAGGTACTTACCCCATCACTTTTTGGGGTAAGAACCTTTTGATAAAAACAGCAACAAGTGTTAATGTGAATCTTCACCTTAGTCGGTTTCTGCCAGCTTCCCTTTCCCCAATGAAAATAAGCCGTCCCGCACTCTGATCCTCCCACTGCCATGTTTAACCATGGGTGGGGTGTTTTTAGGATTATGTCCAGTGTCCATTTTCGTACCACACAGATTTTTGTTTTATGGCCAATTGGTCTGTTTGAGCTGATCTGACACCTTTTTTCTACATGGTTGCTTTGTTTCCTATATGATCTATTGCAAACTGCAAATATGACTTCCTATGGGTTTGTTTCAGCACTGCCATTCTTTAAAACACTTTTTTTTTTTTTTACCTGCACACAAGTTGTGTATTTATATTTATCCTCCAGTGACCATGGCCTCTATAAGTATCTCTTGAGTTATACTCTCACTGCCTTGATGTCAGTGTAGGTGAATGGTTTGTTAAAGTATATGGATATTTATCACATTAAAAAACCCTTTTTGAGACTGTTCTTTTTAACTTTTATTTTTATAAAAGATAAAACCATAAATTAAGTACCAATGATTAATGACTATATATTGGTATATTTTAACTTTAAATACTACATCAAATGCATTTAAGGCTGGGGCTGTAATGGGATAGCTAGACAAAAAAAAGTTCAAGACCTTAGAGCAATTTTGCAATAATACAATGAATACAAATTCATATTTGTTTTACAACAAATAATTAGTGCTTTCATTCCAACTTCTTGTTTTAAAGCTGTACATTTTCCATTAAGTTAAAGACAGTGGATAACTTTCTGGAGTCAAGGGTATCTAAATTCCCCTTCAGTTCCAGACTTTGTCCTTCTACAAGGATACAATACTCATTGCAGAATTGGATAATGAGACCTGTCCCAGTTTTAGTTATGTAAGAATTCCTTCACTTTTCTCCACAAACTATTTGTCCACGTGTCTCTTTTTTTCCTACTGTATTTGTTTGTTTGTCTTTGTATTTTTAAATTCTCTTTGTTTATTTATATATATATATATATATATTTTTTTTTTTTTTTTTCAGAAGCCGCCCTTATACCATTGTACATGCCTAAGACTGCACACACCCACATTCAGTTATTATTTACAATAACAGGCTGTTTTTGCATGGCTTTTCTTTTTTTTTTTTATTTGGTCATTACTTGCACACAGTTACTAGTTGTTTTTAAGTTATTTAATGTAAGAATTCACTTCCTGTCATGAGGCAAATGGCTCGTAGGCTATCAGATTTTCATATTTTTGTCCTCCTCATCTGTTTTATCAGGCTTTACCTCCATCTTACAATGATGCCTGCCATCCCCCCACCCCTTTCTAAGTTCTGGCATCTGTGGTGTATTCTTAAGACAATCTGTCCCTTTGTTCAGTAGCAGCCGGTCAGTATCGGTTGGGGTAAATAACAGATTAGAATGTGGGTTTGTGACTTGCACTTAGACCTGAGCAGTGTTTGATTGTTCTTTCTATTTTTTATTTGATTCTGGTTTCTCATTGTGGCATGTTGATGTGAGATAGGGCAAGATACTTAAACTCAAGTTGCCTACTGATCTGTGTATCAGTGTATGCATATGTGTTGTGTCCTTAAAGTGCTGCATAAACACATTAATATGTTTGCATTTGTGGTGTTGTCAAACTGTTCGTCTTTGTACTTCATTGGAAGTCACTATCCACCATTTCATTGGTTGACAACCTGGAAAATTTAAGACAAAGGTTAAGAGTTTCATTGGATTGATTTGCTGCAAGATAATATGCTCTGCAGCTCCACCTTGTGACAAGATAAAGCTCACTCCAAGATAATGCAAATCGTTTAGCTGTGGTTCATCTGTACCCAATATTGGCAAGATTGTACGGCATTTACTTTAAAAATTAAGCTCAGGGGTTTTAAAGGATAACTTGACCTTTATCACGCCACAGCCTCATTATAACCATTATCATCAATGCTTTCTGCAGGCTGCTCTGTTCCAGCAGCTTATCACCTGTCTATCTGTATATAATCTGCCAGGAGAACTCTTCCTTATGCGGTCAGCATGTGTGTTTGCTACTGGGATATTGGGTTTATTTTGAGAATGTTTTCCCAGATGGTGAGTGTTTATTTGAATGTGTATGACCACAGGTGCTGGATCTGGCTTCGTTTTGTATGACAGATGGACCAGCCATCTTGTCCTCTCCCTGTAAATGTTCCTTTCTTTCTGTTTCTACTCACAATCATTCAGCTCATTTCCAAAACTGCAAATAGGAACATCTGAAAAATCTGATTCAGTTATGCTTAGTTGATTATCAAGGAAAATATAAATAAATTTTTGACCCCAGAAAGATTTTTTTTTGTTCAAAAATTGTCCTGAATTTGAGTTATATTATGAGATTACCTGGCTCTAATGCCTTGCTTCTGTGTTTACAAAACTGAAGTTGAGATCTAACCAGACCAGCTTTACGGGTGCACAACTTAAACATGATCTAATACTCAGCAGGTCATTTTTCTCATTGCTTTCACACATACCCTGTCTACCTCCACAGAATTTTTTTTGTTTTACACTGACTTGCTCTTGTTCAGCACCCAGAGGCTACATCAGTTTCTTTTTCAGCTTCCTTTTAATTCACTGAGCTAAAGCACAATTATTCCGACTCTTTGTTTTCGCTTACCAAGATATAACTTTATGTTCCAGCAGTTAATGCTGCAGTTAATTGTTTACGAATACATTATACATTGCCTTCTCAGGCAAAGCCTTTAGCCTTCCAGATTATGATGTAATAATAATGCATGAATTCTTTTGTGCTTTGATCTAACTAACTAAAATATTTGCTTACTTTAAGTCTTGAACTATTACCTGTATAGTAGTACAAATTTGGTCCTGGTCATACATTAACTTGTACTTATTGTCTAGGACAGTGGACGGATATTAGCTAATTTATTATTTAATTAGACCCTTTTGAAACTAAAAGTTAACATTATATTTTGCAATAGGAAAACAAATCCTAGATATATATGTTTTTTATTGTCATTGGTTTATAATCCAGACTGGATCAAATGATAGACCCCAATATTTGGTTAAGACTCCCTTAGCAGGTTGCTAAGATACCAAATACTTTTTGGAGCCATTAAAAAAAATCTTCTGGCATACTTTTAGCAAAATATTTGGCATCTCTTTTTATCAGATGGAGCAGCGTTCTCTTATGTTCCTAATATGAACCTTACTTTCATCATTTTCATAATTTATTTGAGTTTGAAGCTTTTGGAATCCTATGGCAGCTTATGTCTAAGCTTTATGCCATCATGCTTTATTCTTCCACAAACCAGGTTTGATCTGTGTTTTCATTAGGGGTTTAAGATACGATACGGTATCTAAGTGGCCCGTGGTGTGTACTAAATCTGAGTCTATATTATAGTTATGGATAATGTATTAGAAAATAAATGAAGTTGAATATTTATTCTGCTCAAGTACTTAATTTGAAATACCCCGATTAAGATTACATATAAATGTTAACAGTATGTAAACGTCTCACTGGAACTGTTAGCAGTTTATAAGGTACCATTTTGTACTGATAATAAAAGATTTCTTAAGTCTCCTGCAAATCAGTTGTTAGTGTTTCTTCTACAAACTATTGAGCTCTGTCTGTACATCGTAGGTAGAATCATCCGAGGTACCATTTGATGATGAGGTGTGGCCTCACCCAGAAGGTGAGAGGCTTAATGAGGTCCCAGCACCGCCTTTCTCCTCCCTCTATTCTCAAAGCCACTCCTACTATCAGGTAAACTTTGCTTTGTAGCCGTTGCATGCGTTCATGGTCTCAAGCGCGTCTGGTTCACATTAAATGGGCATGAAATTGCTTTCAAGCATCCATATTATTTTTTGTTTTTATGGATTTTATAAAACTCATCTAAATTTGTTCCCAAACTTTGATTTTTTAATATTTTTGCACTGTTTGACATGGTGCAGTTGCTGTGTGCTAAACAGAAGGGGTTAAAATTGTCCAAATGTTTTTGGGAGATTTTTTCTGTAGCTATTTTTGAACCAAAGTGCCTGAGGACTTGACAGATGGCAGAAGAAATAAGACATGAGGAAAAGATGACTCCAGAAGTGTTTATATTTATAAAGGAGACACAACTGGAGATAGGGAGCAATGAATGATATAAATATGTTTTTGAACCACCATCGTTTGTTTAGTGGTCCCAAAATCTTTTTTTTATATAAGGTTTGACAATTTAACACATTTAACTGTGATAGGATCCCCCTGTTGACATTTAAAAGTGGTACATCATTTGTCTCCAAAGAGAATATACATGTTGCACTTTTGTGTGCCTAATATTCAGGTGATTGGACTATGTTTTTATTATATAGAAAACTTGAATGATCTAGTTATTAAATGCAAATACAAAGTGCATGTAAGAGTTGTATTTGCTGGTAGTATTGATGTGATAAAATTCTGGTTATTTATTTTTTTGTTTCATGTGATGTGGTGTTGTGAATAGTTTTAAATAGTTTCTCTGTATATTTGCAAGTTTTCTTTTGAATAGGTCATTGAAAATAAATACAACCGAATTTGAACAGAATAGAGTATGATTACATTTTGCTCTTTTTTTTTTCTTTCTTTCTGGTATTTGAGGCACAATGACCACAATATATGACTCACCCACTAACTCCCTTAATCAAAACCATTTTCTGCTTTCCTTTCTTGGTGTATTTCTAAAACACATTTTTGTCAAAACTCTTCACACCTGTCTAATAAGCACAATTTTCATGACTAAAATGTCACATTTTCATCAAAAACTTACTGGCACTCAAAATTGCAAAAGCAATTTACTCAAACTTTACACGACTCGTCAAATGGGCAAACACCTGTCACAATTAGCTTTTAGATTTGAGGCAGAAAAGGGCCACTTGGAGGCCAACATTGGAATGCATGGAAAAATACAGCAGTTATTTTATCTTTTAATGTTTTCACATCTACACTAGATTTCAGTTTTATGGTAATACCATGTATAACTTTGTGTTGGTGTGATGTGTTTAGTTTAAAAAAAGAAAATGCCATACATCATACAATATGTACTTTTCAGTGTTTTCAAGTTTGCTGGTTTAAAAAATAAAAAATAAAATGTTTAAAGCACAATTACTGTCACATACTGTGCAATGGTTATAACAACAAAGAGAAAAAATATCTATGATTTCAGTTCATCATAGTGTTTTAATCTGAGTGTATTAGTACTCAAAGGCTTCCTATAATTGTTTATCTATTTGATGGTTTGTGGGTGCTATTTGAAAAAACGAAATTGGGTTCTAAGAGGAGTTAATATAATTTTGAAAGTCAAGTTTGATTTTGTCGGAGAATTGTGGGGGCTTTAGGATTTTTTTTTTATGTTGTGTATAATTCTGAGAATATGATGCATGTTTTTTAGAGAATCTAAATCTGTAAACGTTTGAGAAGAACTGTAACTAGTTTTCCTCACTTTAACTGCAGTAATAGTTTGTATTCTGCAGGAGGCAGCAGAGGACAAAACAAAGATTTTGAAATGAATTCACAAAACGGATTTTACAGGAGGCATTAAAACCTACTTACTGAAGCTCATTTGTAGCTCTGTATGATTTGCTGTTCTTGTTTATATCTAGTTCTCTATATTCTGAAGTCACCTAACTTGTACTCAGGGTTACCCTGTGTACCATTTAATTTAAGTTTAAATATAGAGTTGCTCCATTAAGACTTCAGAGGTGTCAGAAAAAAAACATTAGATAACTAAAAAAAATATGAAGACCAAGGAACAGGCCAAACAGGTCAGGTCTAAGAGTTGAAGAAGGTTAAAACAGTTTTAGGACATTAGAAAAATAGCTTAAGGCATGTAACAGATGGTTGTTTAGTTTATCATGCAAAAAAAATAAAATAAATGATTATCCCACTGCTAATAAATTAACATTTAATTGCCTATTTAAAGTGACAAGCAAGCAAGGGGAATAAAACAATCAAGAGAGACATTGTAATTTTGCTGAAACGACAGGAATCAAAGTCGCAAGTGGGGAAGCCATTTACAGGACAATTGTTAGTTTGTACAAACAGATATCTGCCATAAAGGCAAGCAAGAAGGATTGCATAGTCAAAAGAAGGCTTTAATACACCCTGTTTGTAGTTTTCCACCGGCTGTGTTGGAGAAACAGTTTTACCAACACAGGACGAGATTTATAGGCATCCTTTGGGTGCAGGCACATTCCTACTGGGATGCTTGTGTTGATGAAAGATGAGGTCCTCTTCGGGAAGATTGCTTTATGGGAACATCCTCAGTGATATATGTCAGGGTCATTCAGTATATCTTCAGATTACTTCTTGATTCCTGAAGAGGACACAGCAAAGGTTTGGAAGAAAGTTATTTGGTCAAATCTGAAATATTTAGTATACATGCAACAGGCAAGTGTGAGTCAAGACTGACATTGGATCTCAGCACATCTGTTTGCTTCTCTTTACAAGAAACATGGTTGATAGTCAGAATTGATAAGAAGCGGATGTAAGTTAAGTACAGCATAACATTTACATTAAATATTTTAAAGGCTGCTGAAGATAGAAGATATTTCTAAAGGTTGATCTTCCAAAAATATGATAACCAGAAAACATGCAGTCATAGCTAAAATACAATATTCTTGGTTAACCAATTTTGTTTAACAGAAGAGCTCAAAATTTGGACCAATATCCAACAAAAAACGTGTGCCAGGTTATGAATGATTTTTCAATTCAATTTGACCGAGATGGAGCAATTTTACAAAGAATAAAGTACATTTTCAGTCTCCAGATTAGCAAAACTGTTAGAGAGAAACATATCTCAAAAAGACTTACAGCTGTAAATGAACCAAAAGGTTTAATATAAAGTCCCTGCGTCATGCACAGATAATCACAAGTCTATCTTATTGTTGTTGTAATATCTGCTTTATATGCAACTATTGTGAAATTAGTGCCATTTTGGCAATTTTGGAACTCTTGTTTTTCATCATCTGCATTTAGACCCATTCACACATTTCTTTTTCTTAAGACTGGTGTTTATATTTTCTTTTTTAAATGAATCTAGTTATGAAGTGTTGCATTGAGGGAGTAAGGTGTTGCTGAACGTTACAATGGATACACGATTGCATTGCAAATGAGAATTTGCAGTTTATTTTCAACATATGTTACCATCTCCAGGCTGGGAATGATGAAGAAGGATATCTCTAGAGTGTCTCATTTATGCTCTTTATGCTCATTTATTCACCATAAATCTTTTGATATATAGTCCTGTAATATCACAAATGAGATTCTCTTTAGGTCTGTAAAAAACACAGAATGGGAGTAACAGAACTGTTTGTTTGGATTATGTATTTGAGACTGTTAAATCTATATGTAAATGAACAAGGGCTTTATATTCACTTTCACAATTTTGTGATGCAGTGCAGTGGGACAGATTTCTCATATTGCACCTGTTTATTTGGATGTCCATTTTATTTGGTGATCTGATTAGAAGGGATCAGTACAGGCAGCAGAGACACATTCTAATTCATGGTGTGGACCAACCTAGAGTTTATTTAGTTTAAGGCAATCTATTAGATTGCTCAAACTGAAACGTCTCTGAAAGCTAACACCCAGACCAATCTTTAAAATAACTCGCTGGTAAAATTGATGTCTTCTGCAGAGGCAGAAAGCTGCAAAACTGTAAAGTCGGATTTGTTTTCCTCCCATACCGCGAATGCAGCAATATGTTCACTCTGAAACATCAGTGGGTTTTACTCATTAGGATAATGCAGATAATTAGAAAGGAAGTAATGGAAGAGTGGGCAAGGGAGTGGCAAAAGATGAGATGTAGAGAGAAATACGTGCAAGCTAATGCAGAGTCAGACTGGATTTGTTGCTGTGTGCTAACCATTCTATCAATCAACTAACTTTCCTCTTCCTGGATGATCTACTTTTCCTCCTACTCAGTGGAATTAAGAGCAAATCGAAGTGTGCACTTGGTCATCTGATCTAAAACTCTCAAAAGTAACCAATATCTGACTTAATATTACATAGAATATACAGTATATTTTGAATCATTGTATATTATTTAATTTATTGTATTAACAGTATTTGTTAGAATTAGGTCGGTTTGTCTAGAATGCCCTATAAAAGGGCTTCTACATTCAACTTTTATACACACCACAAAACCTATCTGTATTTTATTTGGGTTTTATTTAAGAAAAACACAAAGTAGTGCATCATTTAGAAAATAGAGCTAATTTATGTTTTGTACAAATAAAAAGTGTTGCATGTACTTCAGCATTTATTTGAGTCAATATTTTGTTAAACTGTCTTTTGTCCCAGTCAAACCCTTAAGTCTTTTGGGGGCTTCTCTATCAGCTTTACATGTCTAACTGGATTTTGCACATTTCTCTTTGCCATACAGCCAAATTCATTGAAACATGTGTGCAGTGCATATGGAAACATGTAGTTTCCAGAACACATAATCATAATTGCTCATAATCTAAAAAAAACGACTGTGTTCTAGTTGGACCAGGGCACCTCCTTGCTGCAAAACCTCTGTTTCTACCATTCATGCATCAAGGCCAAAATTGTAAAGGGCATTGATAACAGTTGCCTTGTCAACAGATTTCCTCACCTGAGTTGTGGATCTTAGCAACTTCTGCATAGTTACTGCAGTTTGATTGATACTTTCTTTGCATGGGCTGTCAGGTTAGGAATGGCCATCCCCTGGTTGTTTCTAATCATGCCATATTTTTATTTCCATTTTCAGATGTGTTCTTCAA